TGTACTAAAAACTAATGTTTTTTCAATATAAGAAACAAAAGACAACGTTTTCATTGATGAGTATAAATTAGTAGTTGGTAAAAAAACGAATGAAAAACAAGCACACTTTCCCAGAATTTGACAGTCCATTTACGAAGAAAAAATTAAGAAAAAAGCTGAGTTTATACCACAAATATAACAATTTTAATTTAGGATTTTGTTTCAAACACAATATCACCAAAACATCTGTTGTCTTGATTTTCACCTTCATCGTCGCACGGATAATTACAGTCAGATCGAAACTATAAAGATTCTATCCTTTTAACATTTTTACGTATGAACGATAAATCTGATATATGTTTGAAAAAAATTGCTATTAACATCGATAACAATATAACAAACAGAGAGTCGTTTTAGAATTAGAACTAATTATTTATCTACAGAAAAAGTGAGAAGACAAAATAAAAGCAACCATACTGGTCATTGGTAGAGTTTTACTTAAAATTGCGAGGTCGTAATCGACTATTTTGTAAAGAAAGTCTCTCTTTGATGTTAATATTATATACAACTTTTAACGTTGTAGAATCAATGTGTAGATATTTTTTAGCAGAGTGTACAGCGTACATTTTGTATTTTTGAGCAAAGCGTAAATCAGAGTGTAAATCAAAAATAGCAGATGTTCTGTGCATTTTGCTTATGCTGTGTACATCTGCTGTTGGAGACACTGTGTGAGGGTGAGGGTGAGGGCGCTGTGAATAATGTGATTAAACTTGACAAGTGCCACAATCTTTAATATCAGAAAACACATTCTTCTCACATCCTTTTTCTTCTATCCACCATTTGTTTCCTCCTTTTTTGACTCATTTCTCTAATATATATATGAGTCAATTGCAACTTTATTATACCGTTGCTTTTTTAGTGTATTTTCATTATAACTCTGGCTGTTGTGAACCAAATTTCAAATTTTTTTATTTTATTTTACTCCTTTCACTTCGTCTTACTACCACAGAAAATTTCAGCTCAGTGGCTGATTGCTTCCTTGAGCTAAACGTGTCTTAAGGCAAAAAAACACATTTTTTCAATTAGTTGTTCCAGGGAAAACAGAATTTTTGGAAAAGGAAAGGAAAGAAAGAAAAATGTAAATAAGCCATTTTGTAGAGCACGTGAGGAATTATCGAAGCATATATTTCATTTCTACATTTTCTCTCTTTTTCCTACTCATTTGTCTTCAAAACTATATTACAGCCATTTTCTCGATTTTTTGTAGAGTAACACAAAACGGTAAGTAGCGATCGGTGTACGATAAAAAAAAGACTCAGTCCATATCTGAAAAGAAAGACCTTGATTTTTGCTACAAAACGAACAAAAAAAATTGGTAACTTTTTCTTCTCGTTTTTGAGAAACAGGAAACTACTTTTTGAAAAATTCCGTTTCCACTCATCGTGTAGAGTAACATTTTCAAACTTCTTTCGGTGATAACTCGACAAATACTAACGCGACTTCGCTGAAACTTTTTCTCAATGAATGATATTTGTTTTGGTATTACAGATAAAATTTTCAGCGTTATACGACCCCTCCTTCTAGCAAAACTTTACATGATACTAGAAAATGTAGAGTAACATTTTTTCGATATTTTTTCGAGCTGGGATCACTCAAATATACATTTATTATACACCGCTAGACTCGGCTTGAAGTGGCGAGTAAAACTAGGTACATTAAAGTCCTTCCAAAAGCAGCTAAAAACCATAAGAAAAGTTCCAATAAAAAAACTGTCTTTCTGCTCTGAAGCGATAAAAAAAATTTCTTACTTAAATGCGTCTTGTTTAGAATTGAATGTCTTCCTAAAGTGCTACTAACTGCTATTATCTTCTGAATTATTATTTTCTCAACATGCATTCAAACTCTGCAGAACGTGTCCGTCTTCACAGGCAGAGAATTAAAGTTAAACGAGTTCTTTCGAAAATATTCGACAAGGAATTTAAACGAAAGAAAAATCAATCACAAGCCAAATGGCGTCAGAAGAAGAAACAAGAGCAACAACAACTACGAGTAATACCACCACCTCCATCAGCAATAACAAACAAAACAATGTTACGGAAAAAAGAAGGTCAACAACGAAGACGTATAAATACTTCAAAATTGAAAAATGAAAATGAAAGTTTACGTCGAACTGTCCGTCAATTGACACTTGAGAATGAAAAGTTGAAAGCTCAGTGTCCTCAAACACCACCTCGTCCATCTCCAGCCAAATTACTACTTAAAAATGTCAGTCCTTCGGCAACAATTCGTGCAGTCATGCGTCTAAAAGATCAAAAAGATAATTTATCTCGTGGTTCAAATTCACAATTTAGAAAACAGTTAGGAATTAATTTATCAGTTCAAAATCAACCGAAAAATATCGGACCATCAAAATTAGAATCGGACATCGAGCAGTTTTTTTGTCAAGATAATGTGTCGAAATTGTGTCCAGACAAAAAAAAGTAATTAATGGGCGTCAAGTACGTTATCGTCTGAATCATTTGTATACACTTCATCAATGGTTTGAAAATGAAACCAAGATAGATATTGATTATTCAACTTTTACACGTCACATTCCACCTTACATCCAGAAACCTTCACACGAAAGCTGGGGAACGTGCTTATGTGTGACATGTTTAAATCCTCAAATGAAATATGAAAAATTGAAACAAATGGGACACAAAAATTCAACAGTTAAATCAATTATGAATGGAACTCCAGTTGATCTATCGGAAATAATTAAGAATGATGATGAAATAGGACAATTTAAAAATAATTTGTCATTATTAGGTAATGAAAATTTGAATGTCCTCTTCAGTGAATGGCAGAAAATAAAGAAATCTAATTGTACGGTTCCAGTATCAACGAAAGTGACCTTAACTCTGTCTATTCATGACTTTCTGAAGAAGTTTCTACTTGAAATTGATGTAGGTCTTGGAATTTCAGTTAGCTGCAAAATCAGCGAAAACAGCAGCCAAACAAGAAGATGGTGTTGCAACTGTACAACTCGACTGGAGCGAGAATTATAATTTGAAACAAGCACGAGAGGAAAAAGGTATTAGTCCTTCTTTAGACAAAAAGGCTGTATATTAAGATGCTAACGGTGAAATGATTTAGCGTTAACTTCTTTTCCTTGCGCTAAATTTCTATGCTCCTTGAGCAATCTTTTTTCTCCACTATACTTCTTTAATTGGAATAGGTGCATATTATTTTGAGCATCATGTTTCTCTTTTAACCGGTTACGTTTGGTTAAAAAATAATTCATTCAGCTTCGGTTGCATCAGCGATGATACAAATCATATGGCCGAAGCAACCTGGACAGCGATATCTGATTTATTGCAAGATCTAATTCAAAATCATGATGTTACAACACTTAACTTTATCTCAGATAGTCCAGTTTCTCAATACAGAAACAAGACAACAATTTATTTCATGACTAAATATGCTCAAAAAGAAGAAATTGGTATTAAATGGGTATACCTGGAATCGGGACACGGTAAGGGAGTTGCAGATGCTGTAGGAGCAGCTCTTAAGCGTCAATTTGATGAAGCAATATCTTTCGATCCTGATCATGCCTTCGATAATGCTCAAGACTTAATGAACGCAGTTCAAAACAACACTGATATTAAACTTTATATTTATGACAAGAAAGATATTCAAAAACTGAAAGATACAATTCCAGCTTTATCCACAATCAAAGGAACGGCAAAATTTCATGAAGTTTTAGCAAAAAAAAGATGGGCCTCTTTATGCTAAAAATGTATCGAATGAAAAAGAAAAACAATTGAACGTCAAATTTCACAATTAAATTGCGAAGATGATTTAATTCAACAAGAACACTTTTTTTTCTGAACTTTGTAAATAGGTGTACTTTTCGTGAAAGTGTGTTAATCGATATTAAACGAGAACAGAAGTAGAAAAAAGTATTCATTGATTTTTCAACGTGTAAATGGGACTGGAATGCGAAGTAGAGAGCTCTAAATAGTACTGGTGAATCCGATAGATAAAAAAACGAGTGATAAATACACTAAAATACGTTTTCACTTGTTTGTTTCGTCGAAAACCGTTTTTCATACGGTTTTGGTGGCGGAAATAGGGTTTTTAGAGATTCAAGTGAAGTTAAAATGGATCAAACATTACCTACCTAGATAGAGCTCGACGAGATCTATCGATCGGTATGTAATAAGTCTTCTTTGGGATAAATGCTAGAGACTTTCTCAAATAAATGCTTAGGGACGAAAATTCGAACTTCCTGCTTAAATATTTCGGTTGCCTTAGCTCGGATAGTTGGGAAAATTTTACCAAATACTCAGTAAAGGATGGCGAACAAAATGCACTATCCAGATTTTCTATCAACTGACTTTTTTTTTTTTTTATCAACGGTATAGTGAAGTTGCAATTGACTCATATATATATTAATGTATTTTTTTTAAAATTCATAACAGTCGAATTCTTTAATATATACTCAATTTTTCTGATTAACAATAATGAATCAATTTGTAAATGGCGCGTTTCTCTTTTGTTTCATAACATAACTACTGGTTCAATATCAATGTATCTCTTGATCAAATAATGTTATCAGAGATATAAAATAAAATTGTTACGCCTGTTCAACTAACAATTATTAAATGAAATTTGTAAGTTATATGAATTATAGTTCGGATAAACCAATGATCACAATATAGGATTGAGAGATGAGTTGTATAATGCTATAGTAATACCATTTGCTGAAATTAAGAGTCTTCTAAAGCTTACAATTTAACACACTTCTTACGAAATCATTTTAGAAATATTAGGAATGAAAAATGGACTATTGAGTACAAGTAAAAAAACCAGAATTTTTTTAAAATACATTCTCACGAACTTTTGACATGCGAAATAAACCTTTGACATAGAAAGTAGATTTTTTCAATTGATAAAAGTAATTACGAACTACAGTTAGATTTCACTCAATTTTCACGAACGTTTGACATGAGAAATAAACTTTTGACATAGAGAATAGCATTTTTTCTTTTCATTTGATGAATTTAATTACGAACTATAGTTAGATTTAAATGGATTTTCATGAACCTTTGAGATGAAAAATAAACCTTTGACATAGAGAATAGCATTTTTTCTTTTCAATTCATGAAATTAATTACGAACTATAGTTAGATTTAAATGCAGTTTCACGAATCTTTGAAATGAAAAATAAACCTTTGAGCTGAAGAATAGAATTTCTTCCTTTCAATTCGTGAATTTAATTACGAACTATAGTTAGACTTAAATGCATTTTCACGAACCTTTGCCATGAAAAATAAACTTTTGACATAGAGAATAGAAAAAAAATCTATTGTAATCATTGGATTTATCTAACTTAATAATATAATTTATTTAAAAGAAAAATAAAGAAAAAAAATGTATTTGTGAATAAATGTTTACAACGGCAGTAAATCCTGTAATCCGTCTCAAATATCATTATATCAATACTGAAAGAAAATATCACTATGTCAATACTGAAAGAAGGTTTTTTGATAATTTGGGATGGGTTTGACGATTGTTGTTGTGGTGGAAAAAAAGAGAAGACTCGCTCCCACACTCATGTCCTGGTTGTTCTTTCTTTTTCATTCGCGTCTCCTTCAGCATCATACTCATCTGACCTTTATCCTCAAGATTTTGTTTCTTTTTCTTTCTTACGTTCTGTTGTTGCATAGCTCTTTATAAATAAGTTACAGACGTTTTTTTTTCTTGCATCATACTCGTATATCGTAAAAACATGTTTTTTCTTCTTGTTGTTATTTTACTAACAATATTTTTCATATATATCAAACTCAAATATTTTACATTGTACGGTCCAATACCAGGCAAATCACCACATTTCTTTTTTGGCAATGTCCTTCAGATGGGGCTAACTCGTGGTAGATACATAGGAGAAGCTTTAAAACAGTTTCAAGATACATTTGGTGATACTTTTCAAATTTGGCTTGGAGGACTATTACATCAAATTTGTGTTTGTAATCCGGACGATGTTCAACATGTATTTACTCATCGACATATTTATGAACAAGGTGATCTACATGTAACCCAACATCGAATTGTTTTCGAAGATGCACTCATTTGTAATATAGGTTGGTATAATTGTAAAGTCTTTTTTTTCAAAAGAACACAAATCAAAAGTTTTTATATAAAATTTATAAAAATTGATTCTTTGTTCTGTTTTTCATTTTAGGACCGAAATATAAGCGTCATGCAGCTATTATTCTTCCTTTATTTCGTCGTGGAAAAATTTTGAATAATTATGATTTAATTGTTGATTGTACTGATAAATTGCTTGATCAATGGCGTTCAAAAACTGATAGTGATCCTAATTATATTCATCTTGACATTGTTGATCAATGTCAAAATTTATCATTGGCAATCTTTGGTTTTATTGCTTTCGATTATGATTTACAAACATTAGAAGAATCCAATATCAATAAAAAAAATAAGCTTACACAAGCTTTAAATGATTTTGTAGACATATTTTTTCAAGCAATTACTATACCAAATTCTATAAGCAAATTCTATTTGAAACACAATTCTCGATATCAACGTGCGAGAATTACTATTGAAGAATGTTTAAATCAAATAATGGAACAAGAACAAAGAAAAACACGAGAACAGATTGCTGAACAAAAAAGAACTAGTTTAATTGCATCATTAGTTACTTCATTACAACAAGATGAGAAGAATGAAGCGAAAAAACCTGAACAAGAAAAAAAAGGTAAAAGTTTTACATTAAATTAATTATAATAACTCTCTGTTTACTTTATTAATGTCTTTTTTTAAGGTTTATCTCGTACAGAAGTGATCAATGAGTTGCTTCTCTTTCTTGTGGCTGGTGCTGAAACTACTGGATATGTAATTGCTTGGTTCATTTATTTTATGAGTAAATATCCTCGTGTACAAGCTAAAATTAAAGCAGAACTTAGTGATAATAAACATAATCGTATGACTATCGAACAAATTGAATCTTTGATTTATTTGGACTGTGTTCTTCGAGAAGTCTTTCGATTTCTTCCACCTGCTGCTGGTACAACTCGTACATTAACTGTAGATGATCGATTACCTGGAAGTGGTATTCAATTGCGTAAGGGAGATGAAATATTCATTTCATTTTATAATTTGACTCGGGACAAGCGATGTTGGAAAATTGATCCTACTTTATTCTATCCAGAACGTTTTCAAGGCGAAGACAAAGATCATTATACTTACGCATCGATTCCTTTTGGCGGTGGTCATCGACAGTGTATTGGTCAAGATTTAGCTCGTTTCCAATTGAAAGTAATCATAGTACGATTGATGCAACACGTCACTTTTGGTGATGGTGGTCCTGAACTAAATGCTGGTGGATATATTCAAAAAATGACTACTATACCCAAACATGTTGGTGTTAGCATCATATTTGATTAAGATTAGAATAGATAATTTTAAATATGTTGTAGACAATTAAATACACAAGTCTATTCTAACATGAACATTTTAAACATTGTAATATCATCTCATCTTGTTTGTGAA